TGTCTACACAGGGAACTCAGAAAAGTTAATAAAAGATGTTAATTTAAAGTGGATTGGTTAAACTGCTTTAAATCCTTGTGTGAGTGCTCTTATTCAGACTCCACTTTGGAAGTGGATTAAGCTGAACTGACAAAGCCATCTTAATTCTAAATAAACTCCCTTAACTCATGTGGACGTTAACTAATCCACTTTAAAATTACACCTTTACTTAATTCAGATTAATTTTTCTGTGTATTTTTGTAGATAAGCCCTACGATTTAGAGTTTAAGGCCAGAAGGGACCATTAGATCATTTAGTCTGACATTCTGTATATCTCAGGCCATTAAATTTTAACCCATTACCCCTGTAGTGAATGGAATAATTTCTGTTTGGCTAAAGCACATCTTCCAGAAAGGCATCCAGTCTTGATACGAAGACATCAAAACCAGGAGAATCCACAACTTCCCTTGCCAATGGTCAGTCACCCTCACTCTTCAGTTTGAATATGTCTGACTTCAACTTCCTACCATTGATTCTTGTTATGACATTCTCCAATAGATTAAAGAGCCCTGTAGTAGCTGGTATTTTCTCCCTGTGATGTGCTTATACACTGTAATCAAGTCACCTCTCAATTTTCTTTTGATAAACTAAACAGATTGAGCTGTTAAAGTCTCTTGAGCTAAGGCATTTTCTCCAGCCCCTGAAGCATTTTTGTGGCTCTTTTAAAAATCTGATTACCAGAACTAAATACAACATTTCAGTATCAGTCTCACCAATACCACATACAGCGGTAAAACCACCTCCCTATTCCTACTCGCTACTTTCCTGATATACAGTAAAAGCTATGTTATCTGGCACTTTACCAACCAGAAAGCTCTATAAACTGGCATTTCTAATCTTCATGGAAAGTCTGGTTTGGCGCAGGGCCAGCAGGTTCCCTTCCTGGTTCTGAGTGGCTCCCCAGAAGCGGCGACATGTCCCTGTTGCTCCTAGGTGGAGGAACGGCCATGGGGGCTCTGTGCACTGCCCCCGCCCTGCACCAAGTGCTGGCTCTGCAGCTCCCATTGACTGGGAACCACAGCCAATGGGAGCTGCGGGGGCAGAGCCTGCAGGCAGAGGCAGCATGCAGAGCCACCTAGCCGCACCTCTGCCTAGGAGCAGTAGGGATATGTCGCTGCTTGCAGAAAACCGCCCGAGGTGAGCGCCGCCTGGATATGGCGCCCCGCATGCCATCCTGCACACCAACCCCCTGCCCCGAGCCCCCTCCTGCATCCAAACTCCCTCCCAGAGCCTGCGCCCTGCACACACACCCCGCACCCCAGACCTGAGTCCCCTCCCACACCCAAACTCCCTTCCTCTTAGTTAACTAGAATTTTTGACTGACCGGAACCCCCCCATACACCTAATATGCCGGATAAAGCTTTTATTATACATACAAGGATTGCATTCGTCCTTTTCCCCACAGCATCACTGGGAACTCATGTTGAGTTGCTTGTCAACTATGACCTCTAAATCCTTCTCAGACACACTGCTTTCCAGGATACAGTCCCGTAATCTATAGCCAGCATTCCTCATTCAAAGATGTATAACTTTGCATTTGACTGCAACAACACACATTTTGTTTCAATCGGCCCATCCTACCCAGATCACTCTGTACAACTTCCCTGTCATTTTTTTAACATACCACTAATCTTTATGTCATCTGCAAATTTTATCAGTAATGATTTTATATTAACTTCCAGATCACTGATGAAAAATGTTGAATAGAATCAGGATTAATACTGATCCCTGTAAAAACCCACCTAGAAAGACTCATATTCCACGATGATCGCCCATCATTTTTCTGAGATCTGTCAGTTAGCCAGTTTTTAATCCATTTAATTTTTTATAATCAGAAAAGCCACACAAAAGTCTAAGTCTATTACATCGATGTAGTTACATTTATCAACCAAACTTGCAATCTCATCAAAGAATGAAATCAGTTTTTTTTGACAAGACCTATTTTCAATAAAACTACATTGACAGGCATTAATTATGTTCCCATCCTTTATTAACTGAATCCCATAGAAGCTTTTTCATTATTTTGCCCAGAATTGATGTCAGGCTAACCAGCCTACAGTTACCAAGGTCAAAAGTTGCTTTAAGTAGTTTGCATCAAATAATTAGCAAATCATGATACACGCTGCCAATTCATGTTTGTAGTGTGACATCTGCCATTGCTACCAGAGAGCAGGGTTTTTTCAAATTTTAAATCAAGCCACAAATATCTATGTTGGTCTGCAAACCTGTTCTTAGCCAGGAAGCAAAATTATTTTTTTTAAAGTTTTTTTTAATAAAACATACATTTTTTAGAATTGGGTGAAATCTTCAGACAAAAATTTTCTTTGCCAAAATATGCTGATTTGGGTCACTTGAAACATTTTGTGAATTTGATAACTCACCAAATGGTTTAATTGACAAAACAAACAACAAAATCTCCCAAAATCAAAATGTTTTGTTCTGGCCTTTAAAAATGAAGCATTTTGATTTTTTAATTCAGTACAACTTCATGTTTTGAGTTTTACTTCAATTTTATTTAAGAATTAATTTTTAAAAGGTTTTATTTAATCTGGAAGACATTTTTAAAAACCACCACCACATTTTTGGTTTGCTGAAGATTTTTTTGTCATGGATCAACCTGAAATGAAATTTTGATTCAATTTTTTGGTATGGCCAGTGAACCAAAAAAAAACAAAAAAACACCCCATTAAAAATCAGTTATTCCCACAGCTGTATTTTAAATAAAATTAAGAAAGTTAATGAAAAAAATTAATCCAAATTAAAAACTGAATTTCTATCCTGAATTTCAATGTGACTGAGCATCCATATCTCCCATTGACCTCCACAGGAGATGTGGGGATTTGACATCTTAATTTGGACTGTCATCTGAAGTGGAAAACAATCATGCTCTCCAAATGCTGTCACATTCAAGACACCATCACATCTGAATATTTAATAAATGTAATACCCTTCAAATCTTTTTTCCTCCTCTTTAACTGAGAACTGACTCAAACGCATTTTGCAATTCTGGGGAGTAAGAATATTGTGTGAAAATCAGAAGGATTTAGTACTCGAAAGGCTGTCTAAGGATTCGACAATTCCCTGCCACAAGGGTAAGATTTTACTGCAGAGTTAGTCCAGCTGATTGACACCCAGATTAGCCTAGCCTGAGTTTGAGCAGCTTCATTGCATGACCCTATTCAAATTACTGCATTCTCACAGGTGCTGCACTCCCCTGTATGTCACCATGGCTTCTGGGGGTACATTCCATAGTTCTTTGTGCTGCAGTAAGCTGAGTTGGTCTATGATTCTTTCCCAGTGAATCATGGGAGAATTTGTCCATCCTTCTGGTCATTGGAGGAGGAGGAACTGTGGGAAGTCATTGGAGGACTGTTAGCACTTGAGTGATTTAGGACTGTGTCCTCACTGCTAAGTGAGCCTGCAAGTGGAACCTATTCTATAGCTTGCACCCGCAACCAGATCAGTTGAAAGCACCATTGAACTCGGGTGAGGTTTTACTGTGTGGACATGAGGGGAGCTGGGGGTAACACCCAACTAAAAGCTGGGGCTAACTCTATGAAGACTTATACCATGGACGGTGCAGGACCAAGGCTGCTCCCTCAAACACAGGCCAGAAGTTAAGAGCGCAAAAGGAGAGTTCAACTGTTTCCTATTACTATCTGGTGATCTGTTTGGCCAACAGTACTGAATGGGACTGAATAGCCCACAGGATGCACCTTGCTCTTCTCCTCCAGAGCAGGGACGGATTAACTCTCCTGCGGGCCTGGGGCTATTAGATTTTGTGATCCTGTATAAAAGTCTTTTTCCCAATTTAAAACAAAATGATCACAATTATGGCATCGAGGCTATTAACGCTGTACTAAACTTGCCTTTTAATTTACATAAAGCCATCCTGTGGTTACATTTCAGTCTTAAAACATGTAGACTATAGTTAATTCAGAATAGCCTACTCCTTACCTTAGAACAGCTGTTATATTAATTTCTTTCTGGGAGAAAGTTTGGGTGCAGGAGGGGGCTCCAGGCTGGGGCAGAGTGTTGGGATGCAAGAGAGGGTGAGGGCTCTGGGAAGGAGTCTGGTGCAGGAGGGGATTCTGACCTGGGGCAGGGAGGTGGGGTGCAGGAGGGGGTGAGAGCTGCTGGCTCCGGCCGGGAGGTGCTTACCACAGGTGGGTCCTGGCCGGCAGCGCAGCAGGGCTGAGGCAGACTGCCAGCCTGCCGTGGCCCCATGCCGCTCTGGAAGCGGCCGACTGCTTTGCGCCCCCGCAGGGAGGGGAACAGCGTGTCTCCGTGTGCTGCCTGTGCCCATAAGTGCCACCCCCGCAGCTCCCATTGGCCGGGAATCAGCCAATGGGAGCTGCGAGGACGGTGCTGGGGGTGGGGGTAGTGCGCGGACCCGCCTGCCCCCCCCCGGCACCAGGGGCCACAGAGACGTGTCAGCAGCTGGCCACTTCCAAGAGGCCATGGCATGCAGGCAGCCTGCCTGAGCCATGCTGCGCCGCTGGACTTTTAGCGGCCCAGAGATCGTGATCGACAGGCAGAGGCTCCAGGATTGACCAGTCGATCACGATCGACAGGTTGGTGACCACTGAATTGTATATAATTATGGATTTATTTTTGCGGGGCCCTCCCTTAGCCTGGGGCCCTGGGCTGCAGCCCCTAAAGCCCCTGCGTTAATCCGGCCCTGTTCCAGAGGGTCACTGTGGCAAGGGACCTCTGAGAGGGGTAAGAGGGAGCAGGGCAGGAAAAAAAAAAAAAACAGGGAAGGAAGAATCCTGTGGGACAGATGCAGAAGACACTCAGCATGTTTAAACTCTAACAACCACCATTCAACTGGCTTAAATAACTAAAACAAAAAAATCCCAAGGAGGTCTTCCTTGATCAGGAACAGAGTGGAAAACATTCAGATATTATTAACAGTAATTTGTTTCATAGCAGAAAAAAAACCAGAAGTGAATTCTTACCTCCTTCTCTATTTTGAGCAGCTTCTTTACAGCCACCTCTTTGTCCTGTGATATCCATCGGGCTCGATAAACGCTCCCAAAACTCCCTCCACCACAGCTTTCAAAGAACTGCAAGTCATCAAATTGAATTTGCACAAATGAAGCACTGAGAGACGACATCTCATAATGACAAAATATACCACAACAAAATCTGTAAGGAGAAAAAGTCTAATTAATACGTCTGTTCCACAGAATTATTACACTCCTAACCATGCTTTAGATATCATAAAGCAAGAACCGATTGCCATAAACAAGTTACAGCAAAAAACAGTGAACAGATTAAAGGGAAAATAAAGTTAAGAAACTCACATGCCAACAGCCTATGCAAACATTTTATAGAGTTTGTCCAGACTCTGAGAAGCAGCTGTTTGCAGAGAAATGGTTAGAAATTTTCCTTGGATTTAGTGATGTTTCCTGCACACACTGGAGCAGCACTGCAAAAGGCTAGTGCGTCAACAGGTCCCCTAACATGAAGCACACTGACAAACGGGAAATGCACTTTCAGCTGGAGCTTGCATAGGAGTTCTGGAATCTGGAGCATGCAATCTCTCCATGTTGTGTGATCACTTCACAGAAAATATACATAGCCTAAGCAACTGAACATTCTGGCAGGAGTGCGATGTAAGCCTGAGGCCCATGTACTCTTCTCCGCACGCTGAGAAAGGTAGAAAGACATGGAAAAAGATGGCCAAAATAAAAATCTCTTCCCAAAGTAACTCAGTTATGCTTGAATGTTATAACAAAGCATAAGTGGAAAATAATTTCTCAGTTTTAAAATGTGAAATCCTGAGCATACTGCCAAGAATGGATTTTACAGTTTTAAGAGATCATACCATATTTGTTGTCAGAGGAACAGAATGTCCTTCCAGTAGATTATTAGTGATAAATCCTATGGCTGTAGTAGATTTTTAAAAATGTTATTATCACCTAAGTGAGTGGCTGATCACTCACAGCCATCACATTTGTGGATTAATTTTGAATCTATTTTTATAGTGTTGTAAACTAAAAAGGTTTTGATCCTCAGTGGCGCTGCCAAGCATGTGGGATCCTGCAGTTCTTGCAAGGTTTCTATAAGATGATTTGTCAGAGGCTTGTCTACACACAAACTTGCACCAGTTTAATTTGCCCTGATTTATCTAAACCAGTTTAAATCCTCTGTGGAAAATTGTATTTCAGTTTAAGAGTGGTTTATTTTGATTTAGGTTAAACCAGTTCCTAATTAACTTCAGCTAAACCAAAATAAGTGTGTCCAGGCAGCCTCTGCACCAATTAAAATTACACCATGAGTTAAACCAGTGCAACTCTGTGTTTAAATAAGCCCTTATGTTTTCTATAGTGCTCCTCAACACAGGATCTAAGCATTGTGTACTGTCTGGGGCCTGGACTATCTTCTAGGTTACATGTCTGAATAGCGCCAAGCACAAACATCACTGATTGGGGTTCCTAGGCTCTACTGTAATACTAAAAAAATGATTATGGTCCCCCCCCCCAAGATTTCAATGCAACTGTGCTATGGATTTTAGATTACAGCTGACTAGAAATCCAGTTTCAGTCACTATTTGGTTACTGCAGGTCTCCAGCTGTGAAGCAGCAACTGGTTCTTTAAACATTGCCTAGGACTACCTGCAATGTCTTCTCGGTTTTCTTGCTTATTTTTAAACATTTTGACTATCCACTGACAAAGTCCTATAAGGCTGAAAGCACTGGTTGACAACATAATACTTTTATCAAAGGCATTTTTTTCGAGAGGCAAATTTAGGACACAGAATTTAGAGACAAACATAGTTTATCTCCCAGACCATCTGTGAGGGAATATGGGTTCTTTTTCTTACCAAACCCTCTGAGCTGAAGTGAACTGTTGCTGGTGTGTTGTGAGCTGGGATGAATCTTAATTATGTGGCAACCTTTTTTGGTTGCTTCCCTACGCAGGTCTAGTGTTGTTATTGCATTTACTTTGGTGTTTATTAATCTTATGTGGCTCAAATCCTTTGAAACTGTGCTGTATATAGATGAAATTTAAAAAAGAAAACTTTTGGGAACAGAGATTGGTCAACCTTCCCAACATTCCAGCCTCTTTTTGGATAAACTCAATTTTATTTTCCTGCTTCTTTGCCATCAGCCCCTTATTTCCTTGTGGCCAGAAACTGCCCATTTGTGCTCTTCCCTTCAATAGATTTCACAGCTAATTATTATTGTTTATGCAGTACTACAGGTATACATGGTGCTTTATAGGCAAATGAAAAGAGAAGCTCCCTACCCTGAGGACTTACGTCATAAAGCCACAGTCTTGCAAACACTGATGCACCTACTTAAACTTCACTCACTTGAGTAGTCTCACTATAGACAATGGAATTATTAATTGCAGTAAAGCTACTTGCGTGCTGTCATAAATATAAAGGGAAGCGTAATCACCTTTAAAATCCCTCCTGGCCAGAGGAAAAATACTTTCACCTGTAAAGGGTTAAGAAGCTAAAGGTAACGTCGCCGGCACCTGACCAAAATGACCAATGAGGAGACAAGATACTTTCAAAAGCTGGGAGGAGGGAGAAAAACAAAGGGTCTGTGTGTCTGTCTGTGCGATGCCTTTGCCAGGACAGAACAGGAATGGAGTCTTAGAACTTAGTAAGTAATCTAGCTAGGTATGTGTTAGATTATGATTTCTTTAAATGGCTGAGAAAATAGCTGTGCTGAACAGAATGAATATTCCTGTCTGTGTGTCTTTTTTGTAACTTAAGGTTTTGCCTAGAGGGATTCTCTATGTTTTGAATCTAACTACCCTGTAAGGTATTTACCATCCTGATTTTTACAGAGGTGATTCTTTTTTACTTCTATTAAAAGTCTTCTTGTAAGAAAACTGAATGCTTTTTCATTATTCTAAGATCCAAGGGTTTGGGTCTGTGGTCACCTATGCAAATTGGTGAGGATTTTTACCAAACCTTCCCCAGGAAGTGGGGTGCAAGGGTTAGGGGGATTTTGGGGGGAAAGACGTTTCCAAACTACGTTTTCTCAGGAACCCAGATAAAGTTTGGTGGTGGCAGTGGAAGTCCAAGGGCAAAGGGTAAAATAGTTTGTACCTTGGGGAAGTTTTAACCTAAGCTGGTAAAAGTAAGCTTAGGAAGTTTTCATGCAGGTCCCCACATCTGTACCCTAGAGTTCAGAATGGGGAAGGAACCTTGACACGTGCATAAATGTATATAGGATTGGACCATAAATTAGACAGAGAATTGTAAACAGGTGATGAAAAGTGGTTGAGCTGGAGATGACAGAAGGAACAGAAACAAAGGCAAAGGGAAAATGCTCTTGGGGGAACAGGTAAACTATTTCCTGTATTCACCATTTGCATTAATAGCTGTCAGAGCTACCTAATTATTTTAAATTATTGTAGAACCTACAGATCCCATAACCCATACACACAGAATAAGTTACCCACACAGCTTCTCAAAAATTTACTAGCACAGAGCAAGATCTTATACTATTAAGATTTTGCTATTTAGACAAAATATACCTCAACATTTACTAGTACATCACAAAGGATAAATAAAACTGAATCACAGCTGTCACATAACTGAACAATGTACATTTTGTGATGCTTTTCATTCCCCTTTGTTCACTCACTCACTAATTCCCAAAATCCACAATAGGTCTTTCCCCATCAATGAAAATGTCTAAAAGTTATTTTATGTCTCCCTAACTTTACTCCTTTCCAATGCAAACAGTTTATCTGCTACTGTCTACAAGCCTAGAGACACCTGAGTCACTGGCATACTATACCATTAAGACATTTTAAAGATGACACACTGGTTCATACTGCATTCTTCAAAATATATTTTCCAATGAGCTCATGGGAGATGTATGCAGGTAACTGCTATTAATACAGGTATCTGTAATTAATGCCAACATGAGTTATGCACAGTCGCCCTCTTCTGGATGAGAGAATAGACCTATTTGACTGTTATTTCATATCTACAGTATAGCTACAAAACAGCTAATCGTCAACTGGAAAGATTAATCCCTTTGTTTTGTGGGAGAAAACAATTGTTTGGGTGTATCTGTTACTACTATATGAGTATTACACGTCATTATTAATTAACTTGTTGTCGTGTTTTAAGAGATACTTTACAATTGTGTGCCAAATCTGGGTTTATACAGTGGATCAACAGATAATTCTTATAGTTCGTTAGGCCCCAGACTGAGTTTTTATACTTCTACTCCAAAACAAGTGCTTCACTCTTCTACTCTTGAGCACTGCATTTTCAGATCTTTTCAGACAAGAGCATCTTTCATTGTAACAGTTTTCTGTTTTGCTTCTTTCAAAAAGAACTACCACAATAGCCTGAAACTTTGTACTCCCCACAGTTCTATCATTCTAGCTGTTATTGTACTATAGCGGTGGGGGAAACTATGTTAATTGGCTTTGTTGTCTATGAAGCGAAGCTGTGGCAGCTCAGTAATACTGTGAATTGTAAGTATTTGAAGCAATGGTTCAGTCATTTTCTCTCTCTCTCTCAGGTATTTCTAAAGAACCTATCACCTTATGAAAATAAAGAGTTTTCCTTTCTTGAACTTCAATTTTGATTTCTATCAGTTAACATGAGCTGGAAGTAATACAACCCAAGAACTGAAGCCATCTTCTCTTTTGAAAGTTATTTTTTTCCTTCCTTACAGCAATTTCTGCAGCGATCTTAGAAATTGTTGACTTTTGCACCAAAGAGAAGAGGATCTAAGGAACATTCTGTTGCACTTTAGATTTCTATTTTAATTCAGTAACTAGCAGTCTGTTATTGTATGTCGCTTTGTATCCAAATTGTTCGGCAACAGCATGATCAGCTCAATACAGTAATAAATTCTCAGCATGCTTAACACCATCTGATAGCTAGCCACTGATGTCCACATTTAACTATGGGCCTCATTCACTTCTAAGTAGGAATAACCAACCTATGAAAGACAGCTCTGTTTTGAAACTCAGAATTTCCTCCAAATTCTTCCATTGGGAATGGAGGTACAAAGGATGGTTTGCTCTCTCCCATGTTCCCTTAACACACGGATCTTGTGGAATCCACAGAAGACGAAAGACACCCGCCAGATGCCCTCTGCCTTCACTCTGTCATCGAGTCTCACTAGCTTCTACAAAGGGAAGTTTCCTGGAGTTGGATCTTCTCTAATGAATGAGGGAGTCCTGTAGCACTGAATAGGAAAAACAGTGCAAATTAATTCTGTCTCAGTGTGTTTCACTGTTAGAGAATGGAACCTGATGAAGCCCACCCACTTCCCCTGTCTCTCCAACTCTGCAAAAGGGCTTGCATGTGTTGGATGGGGAAATGCTACAGAGGTAGAACCCCCCTCTTCGGTATGTGCATAGGGAAGCACAGAGCCCTAATATTTTATCAGTTACTATTTATATTGTAGATCGAGTTGCCACTGATGGTTTAAATGTGAGAGACACAAAAAGGAACAGGATTAGCACAACTTGCACAATATGTCTGTGTCCC